GGCAAGAAACTTGCTTTTTATGTGGCTGGCTCAGGTTTGATCACTGGCACCATATCTGGTTTCTCCAAGTACTGCTAGGAGTGATTCCTGAGAAGAGCCAGGAATAAGCCCTGAGCACTGCTGAATGTGGTCCCTGCACCTAAAAACCAAGTAGTGCTTTAAGGGATGGGCATATAGTTCACTGGTAAAGTGCTTGCATTAGGTACTTGAGGCCAACCTGGGTTGGAGTCCTAGCACCTCTGCTGTCTGCATTACTCAGTGGGAGGAGAGAAGAGGGATATTTGACTTTTCAAAAAAAATCTAATTAAATCAATTAATTTCTTTGGTTTTGGGGTCACACTCAGAGATGCTCAGAACTACTCCTGGATCTGCACTAAGGAATCACTCCTGGTGGTGCTTGGGGGCACTATATGGGGTGCCAGGAATCAACCTGGCATCCCATGGGTCAGCCATGTGCAAACCGTGTGTCCGCCACAATTATATATTTTACCCAGTAAAAAAATATTTTTTAGGGACCAGAGAGACAGGGTGGGTAGAGTGCTTGCCTTGATGTGGCAGTCTCTGGTTCAATCTCGGACATCCCATATGATACCTCAAGCCTGCCAGGAATGAGTTCTGAGTGCAGAGCCAGAAGTAAGCCGACCAAGGTTGGGTATGGTTCCCAAACAAACAAAAATTATTTTTATAATGTTTACCCATAGATTTAAAAGTACCATACACAAAACATAATGGGAAACATACAGACACAGAGATCTCTGAAGACTAACAGAAAGGACACTTGGTAATCTTTATTAGCCAATTTCAAGTCAAGAACTCCTTCCTAACATTGACTTAGTTCCCAAGGAAGGTGGGAATAATGTACATCATCAGAGAAAGTATGCAAAATTCTTCATGAACAGATTTCTGAATTGTTCAGAAGACATTCAAGCATTTGAGATGCACAGAGAGGTTCTGGGATGGCAAAGGTGGGTGGTAAACATTAGATAATTAACCAAAGATAGCCAATCTAAGTTCTCAGCTAGGATTTGCTGTCTAAATGATGTCAAAGATAGAATTTGCCGTCTAAATGCCCACCCACTTCTTGTATTGCAAGGTTTTCCTTTACCTTTGACACATTCAGCTTTGAGGATAGTTAAGAGAAGACAGTTTGAAAGAAAAAAAATCATTTAAAATATTTTCTCTAGGGGCCAAAGTGATAGTACATCAAGTAGGGCATTTGCCTTGTATGCAGCTGATCCAGGTTTGAATTCCAGCATCCTATATGGTCCCCCCAGCACCGCCAGGAGTAATGCCTGAGTGCAGAGCCAGGAGTCAGCCCTGAGCATGGCCACGTGTGACCAAAAAAAAAAGCCAAGTAAAAAAAAAAATCTTTTCTAGGGGTCAAAGAGGTTATGAAACTTATCTAACACGTAGCTGTGGCTGGGAAACATAGTTTCAAATCCTCGCAGTGCGTATAGTTGTTCCATCATTGAGCAAAGACTCAAAGGGTGACCCCTGAGCACAGAGCCAGGTGTGGCCCCTGAACAGGGCCAGGAATGGCACCAAAACCAAACCAACAAAGTCTCTAGTTTCAGTTGTGATAATTGATATTTTTAATGGTATTACTGTCACTGTCCTCCCATTGTTCATTGATTTGCTCAAGTGGGCCCAGTAACATTGTGAGACTTTTTACTGTGTTTGGCAAGATACTTGAGAGGGTGTGTATGTGTGTGTGTGTGTGTGTGTGTGTTTGTGTGTGTGTGTGATCATTTATAGTGGAACATATTAACTTGAAACTTCTGTCACATTAACACCAAGTTTTCCTTTGGGGGACTTGGGGTATCTGAGAAACATGCAGTGGTGCTCAGAGGCTATTATTCCTGGCTTTGTGCGTGCTCAGGAGTGACCCCAGGCATGCTCTGGAGACCATGTGCTGAGATGTACTTATGGCAGGCACCTTACCTCTCTGGCCCAAAGGAGAGAATTTTAAATTTCAACATCTTTTTGGGTTTTGGGGGGGGGGGGATCACAGCCACTGGTACCAAACATATTGCTGGCACTGAGCTCAGGGATCACTCCGGGTAGGGCTTGGGGAATCCTATCAGGTGCCTGGGATCAAACCCAGATCAGTTTCTAATGGTATTAAATGATGAAATGTTCCCTGAATACAAGCATTTCCCAATGAAGGTATGTACAAAAAAAATACTGTCTTAAGATTTGTGGCTAAATAAGGGCTCATTCAATTCCTACAACTTGGCAATGGAGCATGAATGCAAATAGCATTCTATCTACATGTACATCCAGATGCAGTTTGGGGGCCCTTAATCTGAAGGCTTCCAGACAGTTCTGTTACAGGTAGGTAAATAGGGGTGACCCTGGTAATGTACTTTTGGGTTTTGCTTTTTTTTGGGGGGGGGGTCACACCTGGCGATGCACAGGGGTTACTCCTGGCTCTGTGCTCAGGAATTAATCCTGGCGGTGCTCAGGGGACCATATGGGATGCTGGGAATTGGACCCAAATTGGCCATGCAAGGCAATTGCCCGACCCACTGTGCTATTGCTCCAGCCCTGGTAATGTACTTAATAGAAATAATAAAATTTAAGAAGAGATTGTCTTGCCCTGAGGTAGCCCAAAGGCAGAAAGGCACATCTCTTTGACATGCAAATCCTGAGTTCTTTGGAGAAACTGAAGCGCCAACCAGAGTGAAAATTCAAGGCCCCACCCAAGGAAAGTTGCACCCTCAGAAAAGGGAAGAATCTATGAGATTCTCAAAAGACCATCAATAGTGGTAGGGATAAGCTTATGAAAAAACCGTCAGTGGTGCAAGGCTTTCCTGTGTCAAAACCCAGATTAATTTTAATGTATGCAAAACTACAGGAAAAGAGCATTTGGAAAAATTGCATAAAAGTTTCTTCCAAAAGTCATTCAGTGCTTGCTCTTCAGTCTCATGTTCACTCAAGTTATTCACAAACCTAAATAAATCTAAATAAAAGAAATTGAGGACAGTGACGCGGGAGGTTTTGAAAGAGAGTTTTTAGAGTGAAAACTCAGCCTTCCTTCCACAAGTATTTATTGAATTATGCCATGTGGAGAGAAGAAAAAACCAAAAACAACTTGTCTAGTTTGGTAACGAACAGGTAATATATAATCTGCTAACCTCTAAAAATGTTGCATGGTTTTACTGAATTCACTCGGAAAATATTTTTAAATAACTATTATGTGCAAGTTATTTCACCAGGAACAGTATAGGATATATGCTGTGGTTCAGACATTTGTGGATCTTTGAAAATAAATGAATTTAATATTATTTCAGTTTAGTTTGAATATCAATTTGGATAATGTTCTTTCTTTTTTCAGCGGAGACAGGCTCCAACCCATGATTGCAAGGAAAGTGCTTTGCTGTTGAGCAACATTCCTGTTCTTCTAATAATATTCTTTTAGTACAATTTTTAAGTCAGCAAAATGAGGTGATTTCTTAAGATAAAAGATACAAAGAAATTGGGAACATTGGCGGAGGAGAATGGGCACTGGTAGAGGGATGGGTAAACGATTATTGTGTGATTGAAATATGAAAAATCCTAAGTTTCTAACTGTACCTCATGGTGATTCACTAATAAATTTTTTTTTTAAAAAAAGATACAAAGAAATATATTCTAGTGATAAGCATACAATAAACTTGATTTCCTCTCTCCAATTCCTGCTTTGAGCAATTTTCTAGAGAAAGTGGGTGATTGGGCAAGTCTTTCTAGAATGGGGAGTATTGATTTGGGTTAGGTGGGTTCTGGATTGTGGTCCATTGAGACATGGGAAACTATAGCACCAATGTGAGAGAACTCTATCTCCTGTCCTTTAGAATTTACAGAAAGGAAGAAAACGTAAAGTTCTTAACTTTAGGTTGCCTGACAATAGTCTGCCTATTTCAGCACAGTGTGGGTTCATACAAACTGTAATATTATGACAGTACTTTAAAATTAACCTCAGTGATTCAATTTTTAAGGAACCTTAAAAATAAAATAAGCAACCTTCTATGACTAGATCTCCAAGGGAGTCAGTCTTTCCACATTGATTCTATTAGTGAACACTTTTGACTTATTTAAAATAAATTCTTGGACAGCACTTGAGAATGTGCTAGAATGTGCTAGAATCTGAAGATGCACAAATAAAAAAGATGTGCCAGTTTTCAAGGAGATAAACAGAATTTAAGTAAAATTAGATGTAGATAAATTCATTACAGAACCTACGAAGAAAAAAAAAAATTCCTTCGGGACAGTTCAACTCTAACACGGTAGCTAAACTGACACATTTCACGGATTACAAAATGATACATTGGATCTAAAGATTTAACATTGTCAGTGTCAACGGTGATCTCGCCGTTGTGATGCTTTTAGAGTAAAATCTACAAAAATAACACCGAAGAAACATGCTTGAATTCTCAGGAAATGACGGCTCTCCGCAGTCACCTGCGACTTTCCTGTAGGACTACAGAAGCCCAGCTTTGGTCTTACAAGGAACCGGCAGTTAGTTCAGATGCCCCAAGGCGAGGAATGCGCCCGCCGCAAATCTCTACCGGCTTTTTGCCCCTCCCACGTGGTTGTGGTCTTTTGGCAACTTGCCCCACCTCTCTCGCGATTCCGGGGAAGGTTCTAACGCCCTCTGGAGGCGTCCCCGGTGACGTCACGAGCGCGATTCGTGCTGGAGGACCAATCACGCGCCGGTATTTCGGGGAAAGCCCGGGGCGTCGGCGAGGCCGTGTGCGCGTGCGCGAGGCCTCCGCGTGGCTATATAAACATGGCTGTCGTGCCCGCGCGGCGGGGACGTGCGGAGCGCGTGTAGAGGGGCTTCGGGGCGCTCGGGCTTTGGAGTTTTCAAATTTCTGGCGGGGGAAATCGCGGCGAGTTCAGACAGGGAGCGGGGAGCCGTAGGGACGCCCTCCCGGGGGCCGCGCCGCTGAGAGCTCTGCCGTTGCAGCGGGACCCGCGGCTGAGGCGACGCGCTGAGGCAGCGCACGTGTGAGCGCCCCCTGAGGAAAAAAAAAAAAGCGGCGAGCGGGGCGGGTCAGGTGTTGAAGCCGGCGCGGGTTGGAGGACGGTCCTGCGCTGGTCCCAGACTTGTGTGTTGGCGGCCCCCGCGCGTCCCTCCCTCGCGATGCTGTGGAGCTGGACCGGCCCTGGAGTCGGCTGCCGGTTGCCAAGTCTCCCCTCGCCTCTGCACCGCGCTCGGCAGCCCCGCCGCTGCCCCTGAATCGCCCGGGGGGATGCCCGCGGGCCTCCCGGAACCGGCCGGTGCCGCTGCCCCGGCCGTCGCGAGCGCCTCGGGGACCGTGAGCCGGGCCCCCGCCGGCCCGCTGCCCGTCCGGGTGGAGGGCGCCGCCGTGGCCCTGGGCGCCGTGACTAAGGCCCCCGCGAGTGTCTGCGCCGAGCCCGCGCCCTCGCAGCCCCTGCGGGCCCCCGTGGGGACCATGGTGACCCAAGTGGCGCCGGGCAGTGCTCTTCCTAAACTGGGCAGTAGCCCCGGGCTCCCCGCTCCTCAGATAGTCACCGTGAAAGCCCCCAACACCACAATCCAGTTGCCTGCTAGTTTGCAGCTTCCTCCAGGTACGTTGCTCGCCTCTCGGGGCTTCTCTGGACGAGCCCTCGGCGGCCGCGGCTCTGCCCACCCCCCACCCCCCCACCAGCAGCACCCCGGAGCCGAGAAGGCCCGTCAGAAACTTGACTGCGGAATCGAGCTTCGGAGCCGCCGTTCCTTGGTCGCTCGCTTTGGGTCACAAATCGCCTACTGTCCTTCCATTTTTTTTTTTTTTTTAATGGTTAAGCAAGGAATCTCCTTCCCCTCCCCGCCCTCAGCGACCACCGTGCGCTGGAGATCCTAGGAGGTACTGGCCCCCTAGGTGGGGGGAAAACGGGAGGTTGGGAAACGCTCGGTTTTACGCGGAGAACGGACTGATGTATAAACACCCACACGGTTAATTAATGACTGGAGGGCGGGGGGGGGGGGGAGGACACACACACACACACACACACACACACACACACACACGACGATTGTGTTTGTTTCAGAGGTTTTCTCTCAGGAAGAAGCTTCCCTGAGAGAGAACCGAAAAAAGTTGGCAGCTCTCGGGCCGGGAGGGGATGCTGCTGGCTGCCCGGACCATCTGCGCGAGGGCGCCCACGCGGGCACGGTCACTTTCACTGAGGAGAATCCCGCGCTGGGTGCTCGTGCTGGCGTGGCAAATTGATGGGAGCCCGAGAATTGATGGTTAGCTTTGAAAGGGAATGAGTGAATTGCTACAGCTGCGTGGGGGGCGGGTGGGGGGGGGGGAGGCGGCAGCTTGGTAGAGCAAACCCCGGGTTTGCTCTGTTGGGGCGGTTCGCTGTGATTTCCACAGGGTTTTGCTTGATGATCGTTTCCGTGTACAGGCTCGCAGCCCGTTTTAAATTGTCATTCGGCATACGTGCTTGGGAAGTAGTTTTGAAGGTGTTTGAATGAAATGAGCGCACCCCCAATTTGTTTACTAGGAAATTCTAGGCAAGTCGAGTGAAGTGTTTTAGAAAGTTTTTAAAAGTCTGTTACTAGAAAAGCTGCAAGCAGTGGAGAGTGAAAACCCAGCGGAGGCGGAACTGGGTACTTTGTAATACAGTTTAAATCTTTTTTTTTTTTTCAATGGTTATAATGGATCGGTTAAGAGCAAAAACAAAAAGAATGTGCCTAAGGTGATTTGCTCAATGCTGGGCCCACCGAGGTGTCAGAGGGATTTGAATTCAGGCCTTTTCTTAACCACAGCAGGATACTTACCCATTCTTAATTTCGTGCAGTAGACCTCATAGAATGCTAAGACTTTTAGAACCTGATCTTTCATTTTATATGTCAGGGAACCGAAACTGAAACTTGCCTCAGCCGCACCAAGTTTTATACTGCTTGTGATGGAGAAACTCCTCCAAAAAAGACTGACGGTGACAGTTGCCTTCAGGAATTGTAGAGATCGTGGGGAAGATGCTTTGAGGGTGTTCTGGCAATTTCTGCTGATGGGTGGCTGAAGAACATACTAACACGTGTGCTTTTATTGCTGGAAGGATGCTCAGTTATTGGAGGACTGAATAGAAACACTGATTAAAGTGACTTTTTAAAGGAAGGTGATGCCAGTGCCACAGATAGTACAACTGATTGGGAGTTTGCCTTGCATGTGGCCCACCCCTTATGGTTTTCCACCCTCTAGGAGTGATCTCTAAGCGTTGAGTCAGGAGTAAGCCCAGAACACTGCGTGATGTGGTCCCAAAATAAAAAAAAACTAAATAAAAATTTAAAAGGTTATGAGCTTTTTGCCATTTCCTTTGTATACTAAAGATTAGCAGTTGATTATACAGGGATACTTAAATTGTATAGAAATCAGCTCTCCCTTTTTCAAGGCTATGAATATTTAATTCAAGAAAAGTTTTTTCATTGGAGGGGGGGGGTGTTGGTACCATATTCAGTGGTGCTCCAGGGTCACATCTGGCAGTACCCTAGTTTGTCAGCAGGCATGGTAAGTGCCTTAACGCCTTTCTCCAGCTCCATTGATGAATAACTTAAGTGATTTTCTTTTTGCTTAATAAATATCTTAATGAAGGGCCAGAGTGATGAGTGATAGTACAGAGGATCAGGTGCCTGCCTTGCACGCTGCCCACCTGGGTTTAATTCCTGGTACCCCATGGTTCCTTGAACCTGCTAGGAATGATCCTTGAGTACAGAAATAGGAGTAAGTCCTGAGCAACACTGAATGTGGTCCAAAAACCAAACAAAAATTTCCTTAATTAAAAAAACTATTTCATGTACCACAGGTTTTTCTACCGAGAAGGGCTATGGGTTATATGTTTTTCTAGAGAACTTTTTCTAGAGAAAAGGGCCTGGAAATAAGGGAAAGCATTGTGAGAGAATGGAAGAAACTATAGTTAAGCTCTGAAATTATTTTTTAAAATTTTATTGATTTATTTTTGTTTTGAGGCCACACCTGGTGGAACTCAGGGCTACTCCTGGTTCTGCATTCAGGGATCACTCCTGGCAACTTTGGTACCATATGGGATGCCAGGGATGGAACCCTGATTGGTAGCATATAAGGCAGTGCCCTACCTGCTGTACTATTGCTCCAGCCCTGAAGTTATTTTTATGTTGAGTAATTGCTTTGATTTTTCTCTCCTCACCCTCTCTCCCTCTCCCTCCCTCCCTTCCCCTCTCTCTCTCTCTTTTTCTTGCTCATTTGCTCTCTTGGTTTTGGGGCCACTCCTGCAGTGCTCAGAGCTTACTACTGACTCTGCTCATTGATCATTTATTGCAGGCTTGGGAACTATACGGGATGCCGGGGATCAAACCTGGGTCTTGTGCAAGGTGAACACCCTATCTATTGTACTATTGCTGCAGCCCTGTTTTCTGTTTTTATAGATGTGGAAATTTGAGGCAGACCATGGTTTGCTCTTTTTTTTTTCCCTTTTCTTTTGATATTCATTGTCTCTTCTGTCATTTATTTGAGCAAGGATTTGGTTTCTTTCATGTCATAAAAGAATCTGCTAAGTTCTTTTAATGGTCATGCTATACAGAAGTTTGTCAAAGTGAAATATTTGATGTTCTTTTTCATTAATTCCTTCATGTATAGAATTTGTATCTTTCCCAAATTCCTCAATCAGCCCCTTGTTTCCAAGCCCAGCCCTTATAAAAATGGCAGTACCTAATCATTAGCTTTTATGTCGCTCTATGAAATGAGAGGCTATTTTTTCCCCCCAGTGTTTACCATATGCTGTAAGCGGTTTGGATTTTAAAGATGGCGAGTATCAATAGCAGTGTAGGAGATTGTCAATAATGCTGATCTTTGGATAATCATGCCTTGGGAAAAAGTGCTGGCAGACCTTTCATGCTGTTCTTTCTCAAGGATAGGTTAGGTACTTCTGTTGCTTATTCCCAATTTTATAACTAAACCATCTTAGTTCTCAGAGTGTTCATTTTTGTTTTGTTTTTGGGCCGTACTCAGTGGTTCTCAGGGCTGCTCCTGGCTCAGTGCTGGGGACAGGATAGAGTGTCACTCCTTGTGGTGTGATGTGATGTCAAGGATAGAACTTGGGCCTCTGGTATGCAAAGTATAAGCTCACCCTGTTGAGCTTTTTTCAGCCCAGACTGCTCCATTTTGATCACTAGTTTTACAAGGTAAGACTCTGGCAGACTTTATTAATCCCAGGGCTTAGTAAGATTGGTTGACTCAGAGAAGGCACTTAAGTATTTGAAAGCATCCATAACAATGGTATATGGAGTTTAGGCACAATAGAGTTTCAGTTTATAGGGGATTCCAGGAGTCATTACTCATCATGTGTTGAATTTTGTTTTGCTATTAAATTGAGGTAACATAGAACCAGAAAGATAGTTAAAAAAGGGTTGAGTGTATGTTTTGCATGTGGGAAACCTGGGTTGATCCCTAGTACTGTATACCCCCTGCAGGTATGCAGCAACACTTGAGTCCAAAGTGGGGAGTAGCCCCTCAGCACCACTAGGTATGTCTAGTCTATTTTTTCAAACAAAAAAATTGAGATAGTTTTAGTTTCAGGTGTAGTTTCTCACCTCAGTAACTGTCAGTCCATAATTTTAGTTTAGTATTTGGGTCCCACTTGACCATGCTCAGGGTTCCTTCCTGGTAATGCTCTCAAGGGGCCCTGTGAAGGTAGGGATGAACCCAGCCTTTCACATTTAGTGCATAGAGTACAAAGTATACACTCTATCCATTTCAGCTATTTCTCAAACCCCCCCCCCCCACTTTGTTTTCTAAAATTGTAACTGAGGCTTGCTCTTCAAGCCCCTGTTTTCCCTTGAACAGGTATTTCACTTGCTTGTCTCTGTTTCTTTATTTCCACCCTGGAGATGCCTGTATTCTCTCTTGAACACATACTTCTCTCTTTTTCTTTCCTTGATCTTTCTAAATAAGTTAGAATAAAAAATGATCTTGCTTTATTCCTCCCCCCACCCCTTGTGGCTGAATAGTATTCCATTATACATCTATTACTGCATTTTCGCAGGGGTTCGATGGGGGTTGTTATTTGGGCCATGCCCGGAAAATGGCTCTGTACTCAGGAATCACTCCTGGAAGGCTTGGGGGACATATGAGATGTTAGAATTGAATCCAGGTTGACTGTGTGCAAGGTAAATACCCTGTCTGGTGTACTATTGCTCAAGCTCAGTATTGTTGCATTTGTTTATCTGTTCTCAGACACTTGGGTTGTTTCTGTATCTTGACTATTACCAAGAAACATAGGGGTGGTGCATGTATGTTTCAACTAGTATTTTCATAGTTGTGGGGGAAATACCCAGGAATAGGATTATTGGATCAAGTGTTCTATTTTTCATTTGTTGAGGAACCTCCTTATTTTCCATAGTGACAGCAACAATTTACATTTATTTTATTTATATTCCTACCAGTAGTGAGGGAGGGTTCCTTCTTCTCTACATTTCATCAACACTTACTAGTAAGGCCCTCCCGTTGATCGTCGATTTGCTCGAGCGGGCCCAGTAACATTGGGCCCAGTCTCCATTGGAGACTTTGTTGTTACTGTGTTTGGCATATCAAATACTCTCGGTGGCTTGC